GAGCATTTAAGCATCATAATTCTGATGCTGGTATATTGGTCTTTAAATGAAATGCTGTTCGTTTTACACCAGATTTAACGGGAATCAAACCTTCCAAGAAGGTTTCAATCAAACCTTCCAAGAAGGTTTGATTGAAACAAAAATTTCCCCAAAATCATCAATATGATTTTTAAAAAAATGTTAGACAAGCCTTTGAGTTATTTCTAGTCACTGTGGTTTTACTCCTTGGACTCTCCGTGGATGTCATTTTTGTCTAGTCTGTTTTTTATTGTTGAATCATGAACTTCGACCTTCACTGAGGCAAATGAGGCCTGAATCTCTTTAGATGTTGTTCTGGATTCTTCTGTGACTTCCTGAATGAGATATCGATACACCGTTGGTGTAATTTTTGTAGGCTGGCTGGGAAGGTTCACCAGTTTTCTCCATTTGGGGAGAGTAGTTTACACTGTGGTTTACTGGAGTCCCAAAGCCTTGAAGTAGCTTTGTGAGCCTCTTTAGATAAATAAATGTCTATAACTGTGTTTCTCATCTGTTCTTAAGTTTATTTAGATTGTGTATTTTTTGAGATTGTTGTCAGGTTCTATTTAAATAATTCTTGATTCATTTCTTGATTTTATGAATTCATGAATTCAGAGAGGAGGGAAATACTTCTCCAAAGCACTGTAAAAAAAATAAAACCGGAAGGATGTAGAAACATGAAGGCAACTCACACAGAACAGGCGAAAGATGTGAGAAAGGAAAATACTCAGAAGCATAAGACAAATATCAAACAAGAAGATTACAACAGATACAACAGAACATGTCTGGGCTACATTTACTGTAACTACTGCAGTAAAAGCTTCTTAAACACAGCTCTGTGAAGGAATGCTTTCATTTTGCAGTTTCACCATCTTGATGTAAAAAAAAAAATCAAAATCATAACATCACACAAAGCCAGCATTGTTTCACTCTGCACTGCACCCCGTGCTCCTCGATGGATGCAGTTTATGACTTCATTCCATGTGTGCTAGGCCGCCAGAACACATTTAATATACCCACCATAGAAGCTGCTGTCAGCTATTTTAAAGCCACACCTGAGGTCCTGTAGCTCTCTCCTTTCACTTTCATGATATGATAAACCACAGGGAAGGAGTTTGATAACAGAGTGATGTTTAAGTCTACCATCAAAAACATGTTCCTGCATGAATTTTAATTCAGCTCCTGAACCAATGGCAAAATATTTTCATTATGAGATCAGAGCTCACCTGTCTGTGTCTCTTCTGCTGCCATGAATAATGAAAAATAAAAACATGAGACCAGCAATGGCTAGGTTACCTGATAAACAATGTCTCGTGATAAATCTGCTCTCAGTTCATTCATAGATGATATTAAATAGTAAGCATCTCTCCCTGTAATTACAAGGAAGATTAAAGCATAGCCTGAGTACAGAACATTTTTATTAGCTTGGCACAACTTCTACTGTAAAGCTTCTTTCTTTAATGATCTGATAATGTGAGACATTTTTGGACTGGACATTTTTAAAACTAATTTCAGAGACATTTAAACATATCTCATAAAAGAGGGCATTAACACCAACCTTAAAAGCTTTGTGAAATCACTGAAATCACCGTGCAAAATAAGAGTCAGAAACTGAGGAGCCCTGAGGAGCTCTCTGCACAATCAAAATGAAATATTTCTTAAAAATCTTTTTTTATTGCAGACAGTTGAGTCTACTTTGTTCCAGTACTCAGTTTACAGGAAGTCTTGCTCTGTGCTGGTGTACCTTACAAATGTCTTGTAAGAATCACTTCATAAAATCAGGCAGAACTTAACGGTGTTTGTCTCTCCTCTTCTTGGCTCTCAGCTCGTCCAGGCGTCTCCAGAGCTGATGGCATTTGGTTCAATCAGTTCAGATTGGTGGCCTTGGATCCACCACTTCACGGGAGACATCCATACCGCTGACAGCACAGGTAGTGCCATCAATGCCCAACTTCACCATAAATTTCCAGTAAAAGACAAGCAGAGCATCTTATGCAGAAGTAGAATTGCAAGTTAATTCTGATGTAAAAATAAATAAATAAATACTTTGTCTCTTCTTTGTGTTGACAGTTGATGTGAATCTCAGAGATGGAGTTACATATCACCAGATGCAGGTTGGTGGTGAGAAACTCAGGAATCTTTCTAATAGGAACAATTTTTGCTAGCTAAAAATAAAAGTCATATTTGGCATATAAGTCTATGTAAAACTGCATTGAAAAACAATTAAACTATTGTTTGTATAAATGTCGTGTAGGTCCTCCTGCAGAGGCATAGTGCCAATGTAGGCTGGTTGGTGAACAACAAATTTATTCAGAGAATAAATAGTTTGCTGATGGCATAGTGCCAACTATTATTTCATTAAAATTCAATTTTATGGATCTGTATTACTTTACAATTGCAGGTGTCGACTCTCCCACAGATGGGTCTCATTTTGGAACAGTGTTTTAATTTCAACTTCATCATGATACTGAACTTCTGTCTGCGGCCTCTGACATGGCGTTTTGTTCGAATGTTTTCAGGCGATCATTGAGGAACTGCTGAATGAGAACAGCTACTATGAACCAACAAACAGCAGGTAAACTGGAAATGATGTATTTAACTGAAACATTAGATTCACAAAATCTAGCGCTTGAGCTTTTCTAAAAACTAGTTCAAGACAATTCATTATTATCATCACTTGTCTTGTTCAGCGCCCACAAACCTTTAATGAATTTCATTTCAATAGCAGTAATTGCTTTGTTTCTGTGGCTACAAAATGTAAATGAACAATCATGCTGATTTTCAACTCTTTATTTTTGCATGATTTACAGTTTAAAAAAAAACAACTCTTTGTTTGTCTTATGTTGGGCCTTGTTGCAGTCCCTCAGTTTATCCATTGTCTGAAACTAGCTATTTTAACATTGACTCCTTTGAACAAGTTTTCTTTTGATTGGTTGCCCCTCTCAAGCAAAAATTTGGAACCGTAGGCGGGTGGGGCTTCTGTATTTATAACTGCAGCTGAATGACTGAGAAGACCATATTAAGATAATACCTCAGCTCAGGTACAGATATCAGTAGGAAAATACAAAAAATACAAATAAATTACAAACAAATATAAAAGAAGTAAGATATTACACTCTATACAACGGTAGCATACACAGTATGTGATTATGGATACTGTGTATGGATATTAGGGATATCCAGTCTATTTTACATCAGAAGTAGAAACGTAGAAAGGAGTAGAAAAAAACTGTTTCAAACTGAGTGTTTAAGGCAGTCTGAAGCCTGAGCATTTGGTTCAGAGATTACTTATATATATAATGGGGCCATTATCTGAAACTTTTACCGTATGTTAGTCTCTTTTCCTTTTGTTATTCCAAACTAAGTTTAGTGGGACAGTTGTTTGAAATGAAATAAAGATTTCTCTCATTTTTCATTTTTTTCTTTTTTTCTTTTAGGCTCAGAAAGAAAAGAAATGACCAAGAAAAAAAGTAACAGTTATCTTCACTCATCCCTAAAAACTCAAACTTTAAATTTATTTGGAGAAGAATGAGTTCACAATGATACTTCAACACTGCTTGAAATCTAATGAACATTTATCCCAACCCTCATTACAAAACATATTCTCATTGAACATAAAAAGAATATAAAAGTAGTAAATGCATACATTAATTTGTTTGCACATAAACATGATTACGGTGATATTTTACCACAGTGCTCATAGTCATGTTGTCACCTACTCTTTTGATCTCAGGCATTATTGTTGTCTCTTTTTCCCATAAATGTGAAGTGACTGTATGAATTTCCAAAGATATATTAATGTATATATATATGAATATATATACATATCTACAGATAGATACGGATGTAATTAAGTTTGAGACTGACAGTTATTCTATTCTCAGTTCAAAATCAAAATTTAAAACTTGTTTAAAATGCTTTTTTTGAAGCACTTTATACTCTCAGGCCCAGACATTGCATGTCACAGCATGTGTTTTTCTAGTGGCTGCAAGCCACAGTGACCTTGTTTGCTTTCTAAGAACTGATAAGATGCAGCACATTGACCTTAATTCAACATATCACAATTTTTGACTGGATTTGAAAGAAAAAAAAAAAACAGGTCAAATGTTTTGCACTGTAATAAAATGCACTCAATCAGCATTTTTACTATAAAGAAGATCTAAAACATGACTGACAGCTGAAGAAAAGCTTTCTTTTGCACTTTGACTCACTGTTATCTGTATAAAACTATTTAAATGTTTGTATTAATAAACATTATTTAATTCAGCAAATGTCTGCCTGTAATGTTTTAATATTAATATAATTATTGTGTATTCTTTTGATGTGCTGTGAGGGCTATTCATGTTGAAGGTGAATTTAGTGCATAAAATGTGCACGTTTGATCTCCAAAAGTTGATTCTGTTCATCCAGATGTTTTCAGTGGGAGAAATGTTTCGTCACTCATCCAAGTGAGTTCTTCAGTCTCAGCTGACTGCAGGTTTCCCCAATCTTATAAACAATACATTGCATATTGACTGAAACCAGCCCAGTGAAGGGCTGGGAGGTCAGTTCCTTAATCTTAATTATGCAAACTCTCATGACCATTGATCAACAACCACTGACCAAAACCCACTGATCAAAGACCACTGATCAATGGCCATGAGTACCATTCACAGAGAGTTGGGGAATGGCTGCAATCACAGCATTGTAAGATGGCGAAAGATGTACCCTTTGGCCCCCTCCTCGATTCAGAGATGGTCTTTCCCTTTTCACATAAATGGCCTCCTTGACTCCAAGCTCAAACCAGCGTTCCTCCCTGTCCAGGATGTTACATCCTCATCATTGAAATAGTGTCCACTGGCCTGTGTAAATAGACTGCAGAGTCCTGCCCTGACGAGGTAGCTCTTCTGTGTTGTGCCATCCGCTTCGCCAGAGGTTGTTTGGTTTCCCCGATGTATAAATCCTTAACTGGGCTGGTTTCAGTCATTATGCAATGTACTGTTTATAAGATTGAGGAAACCTGCAGTCAGCTGAGACTGAAGAAGTCACTTGGATGAGTGACGAAACATTTCTCCCACTGAAAATGCTACGTTCAGATGAACAGAATCAACTTTTGGAGATTTACTTATCTGGATGATTGAACATGCATCAAGACGTGCAGGTTTGATATTGATTGACTCAAATTAACAGTGATGGCAGAAGCAGTCAGATGAAGTAAAAGTACAAAAATTCAGAGCTAAATAAAGATCTTCATTGCAAATAAGTAGTTATTGTCAGCAATATATATTTGAACAAAAATAAAAGTATGACAGAAAACTAGCTAGTATACTAGTAAATATTTTTAACTGGTGTGTGTGTGTGTGTTATCTAAGCTAATCTATTATCATAGAGTAATATAGAGAGTAAAAAATCACAATATATCTCCTTTATGTTTAGTTGACAATTGTAAGTACACAATAGGATTAAATGGGAAATATTAAGAGCTTTCCATCATTGATATTGATGGAGGTTCATTTGGAAAGAATCCATTCTTCAGTAACATAAAGGAATCACTGTCATGCACATTAGGTTTGCTTGCAGCTTAGTCAGGGTTTAACTGTTAATTACACAATTTCAGTTTCATTTAATTTTCCCATACACGTAAATCAGATTTGCTGAAACTTCAGACTAATTAAAATTTATTCATTACTATAACAACCCACTGAGATGATGATGGACTTGTTTTTGAGGGGTCAAAAATGCAACAGAAATGAAAAACACAGACCAGTAATGGGAAAGACAAACACAAACAAGAAACATTAAAGAAATTTAAAGGACACACAACTATCAAAACACAAAGAAAGGGAAATAAGTACAGTGGTGATTTTATTCTTATTTGGTCTGTAATTATTTGCTTTTTCCATTTTATCAAAGTGATAAAATATGTTAGACAGCAGTCTCTAACGTAGACTTACTCTAAAGTTTGCACCCACCTAGGACACGTCATCAGATAAAATTATTTACTGCTGTATGCAGTTCATCAATTGATCAACAGGAGGCAGTATGAGCCTTTAGTAAATATGGTCTGACCTCAAACAACCTCACAGCCCCATGAAATTAAACTTGAACCAGAAAAAGAAATACTTAAATTCTCAGTGGAAACATGACAGAGCAGCATAAAATTTAATTCACAAGACTTTAATAGAACAAAGAAAAGCATATGAAATGTGATCTGTTTAGTGATATAACAAATTAATGCAACATGTAAAATGACACAATGCATACAGTCTTACTGCAACGTTTGGGATGTGGACATCAAAATAAGTAAAATCACTTTTAGAAATGTCAAGACATAGAAAAGTTTGGGCACAATTAAAATAGGCACATTTGAGTTCTTACAGTACACGGGATGCTTGCTCAGATGCTTACACAAAGCAGGTTAAGGTCCGTGTATCTTTAATGTAAAATCATCACATTAGTTTCTAATTTGTTACAGTCTCATCATTTGTTGCATTTTGTTAGCATTTGTGTGGATTTATGATCACTCAGATTTCAGATGCTGTGATACTGTCACTGTAATGCCCACGGTCCACTCTGTGTGCAAAGCAAGTTCGTTACGACTTACAGAAACTGGCATTTAGCCATGCTAGCAGCTAAGCGCCTTAAGATAAATGTGAACATCTGAATGCTAACACACTCACAGAAGGCTATCATTATTCACATGCTGATGGAAATGTCAGCTTTGCAGGTATTTTATCATTAAGTGATTATGCTCATTTCCAGTTAAATACTTTTATTATTGGACTCCATTAGAGTATGATTCACACATTTATCTTATACTGGCCCCTCAGTTCACTGACCACCTTAAACAGGACATTTTAGCTCCCTTCCCTCTTTCTTCGGATTGGCTGCCCCTCTCAAGACAAAGTTTCTGTGCTCATGGCTGAAGCTGTGCCAAAAGTATAAAAAACCATAACCAAAAACCAAACAAAAAAACAGTTGTTTGTAGGAAGCCTGAACTTTTGGCTCAGACCTCAATATTTAAAAATGTTAGCCATCTTTAATATAAGCATCTATCACTGTAAGAGTACAGATATGACAAGAAATAAGGACGAGCACAATAGGTCCTCCTTAAATAGCGGTCAAAAATATTTTTCACCTGATATTGGCACTACAGAGAAAGTTAAGGAGAGTGGTGCCACAGCACAATCATGGCTGAAAATCTAGGAAATGTTTTTGTACAATCTTCATACAGCAACCAACATGTTTTCTCAGTATCAAAATAATAATAACAATAATAATATGCTTTATGATAATAGTGGGAAAACCTTTTTCCATTTAGAAAGTAAAAAAGAGAATAAAGTTGTATATTATCATTAGCTTACTCTTGTAATAAATCTGTCAAGCTGTAAATGAGTCCAGCAGATTTCCAACAAATTTTACCACAGCAGCTTCACAAAGAGATTCTAACATTGACAAGCTCATACAAACACTGCTATGTTTATTGTCCTTATGCATTACCTCTAATCCCTCATTTTCTACACCGTGTCAGTTCAGACACATTAGTTTGTTAACTCCGATTATGAACACTTACCCTTATGGAGGAAAAAACATTGCATTTCCCTTTAATTTTGTACAAACTGAGTTTGAGAAATTTGTATATAAAACCTAAAGATTGATTCCTTATATTTGCTATCTTGCTATAACTAATGCTAAATGAGGTAAAATTAATCCATGTGATATTTCATGCAAATATAAATACAGTAAAAACCAGAAACAGTAAAGAAAAGACTGAGAGTGATTCTCAGAGGTTATAAAAATGGAGATTAAAGCATTACTGCATCTTCCTTTGAAGTAGGATTTTTGTTTACAGAAATACTTGTTAATGTGTGATTTAAATCTCTTCTTTAAACATGGAGTCATATCTGCAGATCGAGCTCTGACCTCTGGACAATAACTGAGGTAAGTCACTCTCTGATCTGCAGCTGCACCTTTGAGCGATTTCCCTCGGAGGAAAGAAAAGTTCTTTGAGCAGCTTCAGAGTGGAAAATCAGCAGAGTTCATGTGCTGTGAGGAGACGGGGTGAGTGTGCTGAGTGGTGCCCGACTTCTGGTGTTTCTCCAGGTTCTGCAGATCCTCCAGCATCTCCTCGATCAGTGGAGGCATGGAGCCCGGGATCTCCATCTTCAGTGTCACCACTCGCTCAGCTCCTGTAGACATGGTTTAACAATGCACGTGTAAAGCTTTATTGGCAGGGAGACTTAATGTGATATAGATAAACAAAGTCTGCGTTTTACCCGTATTTACTGACACCAGCTTTCACCTTTGATTGTCAGGCATGTCAAATGTTGTGTTGGTTTTTATCTTGTGTCAAATATGCTGCACATAAGTTTGTACTTTATGTTTAATGTGAAAATAAATGCACAGCTACAATTCCCCTGTGGGAGAGGAACTGGAGTGTGTCAGATACACAATGTAGGAACCCACCGGTTACACTAAGAGGAGGATGAAATGCATAACATGCCTTGCAGCATGAGGCAAAGAACACTTTGCTCAACTATTATGTGGTAGCCTATTAATAGTAACACTAGTTCTGTAGCAGGCAGCCACTGATGACAGCAAATTCACTGCGAGACACTCAACAAACACTGTGCAGATGAAAGCACTTTGAGAAAAGGAAGATTTGAAAACAGTCAAAGAAAATTCCACTAAACCCAAAGTTATTTCCACCCGGTTTTTATCCAGAGGAATTCAACAATAAATAAATAAATAAATAAATGAAAAATTTCAAAAGACAAAAAGATGAAAGCAGGGGTAAATTGTTTTCTTTTCGTTTGTATTACAAAAACTTTTAAATATTAAAGAAGTATAGTCATTACAAATGCAGGTAATACTTTATAAAAATAGTACAGTATTAGTAAGGCATTAGCAAGTGCTTAATTTATGATTTATAACGCAATACTCCTCCTTAGTATGTCATTTATAAATACAGATATGTTTATTCATCTGTTTCTGTTACACCATGCACAGCTACAGGGGCCTTCCAATGCATAATCATTTCTAGTAATAAACATTTTCATAATAATATATTTATAAATTACATACTAAGGAGGAGTGATGCTATATAGATGATAAATTAAACGCTTGCTAATACTTAGTATACAAATACGAATGCTTAATCATGTGACATTCATCTAATACATAATACCTTTTACTAATCCTGGGTAAACATGACTTCAGACTTAATAGCGCAAAGAAACCAAAAAATAGCAACGTTCTGATCAGAAAGGTTTTACATTTCGGACAAA